TAACGCTCAATAATAACAACCGTAAACTTTTGGCTCGAATTGGATGATATGAACTTGGACAATATGTGGCTCCAACAGGACAACCACAATCGATTTATTAAAAACCAAATTTGGTGAATGTGTCATCTCACGAAGTGGTCCAGTCAATTGGCCGCCTCGGTGTGACGCCGTTAAACTATTTTATCTTGATAAACTTCGTATGAATATCGAACGTGAAATTGCAGCAGTATCGGTCGTTTTATGTTTGAAAACCGTCAAAAATTGGGCTCAGCGTCTGAACCTTTGCAAGCGTGCCCGTGGTGGACGATGGATCGAGTTCCATACATAATGCCATCGAATTTGCTTTTACAGGAGTAAAGAATTTTATTGATATCCTATGACAGAGAGAGAAGTGATCGTTCTGGCGTAGTTCGAGCCAATTCTGCCATAAAAACTGTACGCGAGCACAGGCGGAAAAATCAATGCCGACGGTCAACTGATAGCTGCTGTAATAGTTTGGTAGGAAGGCCTTCCTCCTCTTCGTTTCTTTATAAATGGAGTTAAAATTCCGAAAAGTGTACCAAAAAAAATGCTTTAGAAGTCGTGGCTAAGCAATTAAAGAATGTTCTTTTCAAAGAAGAACATTGAATCTTTCAGCAAGAACATGCTGCAGCAAACAAACCAATACAGACTTCTGTAAACTGGGTATATGCATATTTCATAGCATTCCTTGCAATCTAGATCACTGCATTGCGGAAGGTGCCACCACTTCTCTGCTCACTGACGTGCGATGGGTTTGTGGGCGTGTCGAAGCCGTTGAAGAATAGATCGAAGTTCAAAGAGCGGGTGGGATAGGGAGCTTTCTGTCGGAAGTTATCTACAACTCTAGTTTCAGGCTATCAGAGGAAGATGAGTCTTCTCTGAGAAGCTCTCTACAACTCTAGTTTCAGGTTATCAGACCACAGTAGCATTGAATGTACTGCTTCGAAATGCAGCTTCCTTCAGAAGGGTCTGCCTTGATCTGATAGCCGAGCACCTTTGAGCTTGCTGACTATGTGTTCAACATAGGAGCTACTCATATCACAACCTGGGTGTGAATACTTTCCAATATGTCAAACAAGGTTCTGCTAAAAGTATATACGTCTACATATGTCTTGTCATGTTTTTCAGCGCCTTTAAATTAGACAAAAATTTGCGCGAAGGTTCATGAAGAAAGGTCACATTTATTTCCTTTTAAATTACTCATATACAATATATACATATGTATCTATATAGGCCTATCAAATAGACGTGTATATACATACATACTTGTATATATGTGTATTTAAACATAACTTAGCACACACTAATTTGATTGGAACTAATTTGATTTGAATGCTAATTGGCTTTGGATCCATACTGACGATTTTTCCAGTAATTGCTCAGGTCAATGTGTACAAACAACAATGTGACTAATATAATGATAAATAACTCGGAACTAAAGATAAGTTAAAAAAAATAGTAAATTACGAGGGTGGTTGAATAAGACTAGAAAAGACTAAAGTCTTGAAAAGAAAAACGAAACTTCTTTAACCTGAAAAAAAAAAGGTTTTCTGAAAACCTTTCAGGTAGACTTCCGTCCCGGCGTTCGCCTCTTTCTCAAAATTTGTGCACAATAAGTGACTCTTTCAAAGAAGTTGTCTTTCAAAAAAAAGTCGCATGGAACCAATTCTGCAGAATACCGTGGATGGCACAGTAGTTCGTAGCTTAGTTCAACCTATTTGCTCATGACGAAGTCGGAGATGTGAGCCGATGTACTGCCATAGTGGAAGCAGACTTTTTCGTCACCCAATGAAACAGTGTTTTCTGTGATTCGGCGTCGAGCTGGCTCTTTCTTAGTTGATGCACATCACACCACCTAAGACCCAAAAAAACAGTGGCCATTCCCATTTCCAGCCATTAGAACAAGCTTCGCCTACTTTGGAGCCGTTTGACTCCTTGGAACAGCACTTATATAGCTTCCCATATTAACTCTGAAGTGGTCTCACTGTTGCGCTTGGTTTCCGGAGTAAGAAAACGCGACGCCCATCGCATCTCCGTGGCAGTATCCGCGGAAGCAAAAGAAAAAGTCCCCGGTTTCTAAGCTCATTCGACGTCACGGGAGTGATATCTTTAAAAAATGGCTTTCACGGTAATGTCACAAGCGTCTTCGTCCCGTTAAAACCATGGCAGTTCTTCGAGCTCTGAACACATATTTCCATAAAGTTTAACTATGCGATCGAGCGCGGATTCCGACTTGAAACGGGTACCCTTACACATCAGTGATGAAAACAACAAAGTAGTGCAAAACCAAGAAGTACAAACAGCCGACGAAATAGATGCCTTTAGAAGACAAGGTAGAGTTCTACGCTCGCCACCGCAAATGGAAGACGAGAGGACAATCCAAACTGCAGAAATAGAACTGGAACGGTGCCGGACTTTTATCCGGCCAAGGACTGTCAACTTCCCAGGGCAGAAACTCATTCTGAAGATGATAGTAGAAGAGAATTTGACGTCCCGCTCAAAAAGGTAAAGTTAGGTAGAAGGATTTAAGCACCGAGGTAAAAATGGTATATCTGAGTTAGACGAGCTTTTCCGCATTATCGGTATCCTGGGGCGGAACTGTATAAAAGCAGAAAGGCATACAAGACACACAGACAGAATGAAGCTGCTCATTTGTTAGAACCGCCGATATTGGAGTACTATAGTATAGGTTAGGCTAGGTTATGATAGGTTAGGTTAATCTGGTAGGCTAATGAGTCACGCATAGACCAGTTTTGGTTATTTGCAATATCAGATGGAGTTGAGTTATTAGGTTCATGTGGAATAGTCATTCTATAGAATGCCTACGCTTGATGCGAGTGTTAACCGACTCTGTGGTCTCACTATCGATACCTCCTCCAGTGTATCATACCGTGGGGACCACAGATGCTCTATAAAGTAAATTTAAAAAATTACATCAGAAGAGTTAACAAAAACATTTTAGCCATTTACCGTTGTTCTCTTCAACCTGAGCGGTCTCATACAAATTCAAGCTTATGTATGTATGTATGTACATACATATATTCAAGCCGATGAAAGCGAAATTCTTTCACTACTTAATATTAAAGTCAGGTACATATGTATGTATGTATGTAGGTACAATGTGTTTGCTTACCAAAAAGCATAAAAAGTTGAGCGTCTGTTGAACGACAACTTAGGCACAACGTCATTCGAACTTACGTCTACCTGTTTACGAGCTCAAGTATATTTATGGGTATGTAATATGCACCCATACATATGTATGTAAATATGTTTAAATGTATGTATGCCTTCCGCACCTCCGGTCATCCGGTACATCAAAAGACACCACAACGAACTTTCTTCGTAAAAAATTGTAAAAGAAATGTGAATGCGCTTTTCCCCTTCCTTTTCGACTGCCTCGCTTGGGTATCTACATGTGCATACATATACATACATATATACTATGTATGTATGTGTTTTTATTTCAGCGTAACATATTATATTTGTTATTGTAACGTGCTTTTGCTTTTGTATTTCAATTAAATAAAACAATATTGTAAAATAAATTTCCCATTTGACATTCCGATACTGACTTTCCGTTGCTCTCAACTTAATTTGCATAATAAATTCAATTTTTTTTGCTTTCAATTCTTATAACGATCCAAAGCGTTAGTTGGTCTGCTATTATGTGTGTGTTTGCATACAAGCTTTGCTTGGCGCTTAGAAAAATTCGGCGGAGATGCTGCATGCTTACAATGTATATACATATAAACACATATAAGCAGTGATTTGGCGGTAGCGTTGGCGTTACTAGCGCTGGAATACATGATTAAATTAAAGCACATATACATATTTTAAATTAATTAGCTACTAAAAACTGTTATATTCATATTTACATGTATGTATATGTTTGTATATTTATTTTATTTTTACGTCGCCGAAGCTTTCTTCTATTTATACCAAAGCGTATTTGTTTATTTATTTCGATTTGTTGCACTTCACACGCGCTATACCAAACAAAAAGCAGTATGAAAAGCAAATAAGCTTAACAATTATTATAATAATCGCGCAAGCAAAACTACCTGCTTTCTTTGAGTTGTGGCTCGTTACATACATACATAAACGTACATATGTGTGTAATACTTTACATACATACGTTTAACTTGAAGCGTAATTAGCGTTTGCGCAGCCGCGTCCGTTCCGTTTAAACCGATCACTTCAACGTTACAAATTGAACTACAGCCCGGTGTATACGCGCCAAAGCCAACTAGTCAGTCTAAGCCGGTCAGGGTACGCAAACAGCCCGCATACACGGCAAGCAATCAATGGCACAACAAGCTTGTCCCACTGGGCGAACGCGCAAACATATAAACACGAGCCGGCACAATACATAAAGCACCCACAAAATATGTTAAGTTTACAAAAGACAAGCAATTGACAGAAATAAAAAACAAGTTGAGAAAGAAAGCGTATAAGCAGAGCTTTTACTTTGTATTTTATACTTAAAGGAAATTCGCAGTGTTAAAGGGTTTTTAAATTTTCCTTCTTTTTTTTTATCAAACTTCCGTAACGTGCGTTTTAACCATAACTCACATTTTCTATTTCATTTATTCACTATTTCTTTTTATCGTTGCTAATTTCACATACGTTAATTTTTTAACCGGATTTTCCACAAATTCAAAAAATTTTCTTGTACAAATTCAAAACAAATCATTTAACTTCCTTCGTGATGCCAATATGTGTTTAACAAATCGATAACATGCGTGCGATATCAAAGCGTTGTTACGATAAAAGCTTATGTTAACTTTATTTAATTGCAAGCTTTCTATATTTTTTATTTATTGATACCTTTTAAACACACTGAATTATTTGATATACATAAAAAATATTCCTTAAATAATTTTACTGCGCATTTATCAATATATATATTTATCAGCAGGTGGCAACGGCTACATGTTCTATTACTCTTTTTGCACCCAGCTGTTTGTCAAATTCTTCTGTCAATTGCAAGCTGCTATTTGTCTCTTCTTCCTTCAAATTGAACAAATTTTTTCTTGTGTTTTGTTGAATTTTACCAAAATCGTGAAAGATGGCCGGACGTGAAGCTGTAAGAAAAGCTGTGCAACAAGTGCGTCCCATCTTGTCGGTGGATCGTGAGGAGGCGCGCAAACGTGCACTCAATCTCTACAAAGCCTGGTATCGGCAAATTCCTTATATTGGTGAGAGCGTAAAAGTTGTCAAAATGTTTGTTATGTCATCGGCTACTCCAAGCGTTGTGATGGAGTACGTTTATGGTCACAAACATCAACAAGCATTTGAAGAATTATGTGCTACAATTTAAGCATTACAAGAAAAAAAAACTACAAATACATTTAATATTTTCCGTTTCATGTGACAGTCATGGATTATGACATCCCCAAATCGGTGGAAGAGTGCCGCGCTAAACTGCGTGAAGAATTCGAAAGGCATCGTAATGTGACCGATGTGCGCGTAGTTGATATGCTGGTCATAAAGGTATGTAGCTTTAAAGTATTAAACGATTGTGCAGGAGACTGTAGTTGGTACAAAATGAAAATTCATTAGTACCTAAGCTTTTGTTTTGTCAAATCGAATTGATTCAAAACTTTTAAATCGTTGGTTGTTTTGTGTTAGCGGTAGGTAAAATACCAATTTTTAGCGGTCGTTAGGGAAGATGGAGTCATCTGTAGAAGTTCACGCTGATCGCCATTTACTTGGGAGTGGCCAGAAACAATCCTTTTTTAAATATGGCTCAAGCAGCTCACGACTTCCGGTCTTTGCCCAAGTATCCTCTAGGTAGCCTAAGAACATCCGTTTAAAGGCGAGAAGTGAGAGCGTGAAACATCCCTTTTAGGGTTGTGCGCTGGGCTTGGTACCCGCCGCGTAAAAAACGACCCCAATGAAAAAGTATAAACAGCCTCGGATGAGAGGCGACCATATCCAACGAACTAAGGATTACGATTTTCGGCTATAACCGTGTATGCGATTTAAAAGCTAGTAAAAAAGTAGTGACCGTTAGTCAATTAGAGATTTCGTTCTGAAAATTTTCATAACTCATTTTCTCTCCAAGGAAGTGCTCATTTCTCGAATCCACAACTTCGATGTTGCTTTGTATTGGGTAGTAGGTGGTAGGTAGTAGTTTCTCCATACACAAACCATCTTTTTTAAATTTGAAGTGTGTTAATGGCAATTTTTCATATTGTCACAAAAATAATAAAGCTTTTATCTACTTTGGCAATACCAAAGCTTTTCTTGTTCTCTCATTTTACTGAAAGCGCGCTCTCTTCTCACTTAGCAATAGAATGTTATTTAGCCGCTATCACTCATGTAGCTGCGGTGTCCGAGTGGTTAAGGAGATGGACTTGAAATCCATTGGGTTCTACCCGCACAGGTTCGAATCCTGTCCGCAGCGTAGATATTTTTTCTATTACTGATTTTTATTGAAACAAAAAATTAATTTCATTTGATTAAAACTAATTTAAATAATTGATTTAACTAAATTATGAATTGTTTAACTAAATAATCTATATTTTTACAGGGTCAAATGGAGCTGAAGGAGACAGTAGAAATTTGGAAGCAAAAGGGGCACATAATGCGTTACTGGAAAGAAAGCCAAGATCCCAAACCCACTGACTTCTTGTCAAAATTCTTGCAAGGTGTGAATTAGTGAAATCGTTTAGTTAAACTATTAAAATATATGATAAAATTTCCTACACGTCAGATTTTGAGAAAATTACTATTAGTAATTTAAAATAAATGCGAAATTTAACGAAAATAATTTTTTTTTTATAATTTTTGTATATATAGTTATATTTGAGCGCATAATTGACTTGCTAATTACGTTAAAATAAACTTTAATTAAGCGAGCGTGTTCTTTAGAACACGATATATGCGTTTTCTACCAGCTATAAAACTATTTAGTGTAATATAAAAAACTTAGGCAAATTTTTTTTCAATATTTTCACTTATTTCATAACTAGAAAAATTCAATTTTATTTCGAATAAACATAAAAACGTAAAAATTGTACATTATTAAACATTAATAAATTATAGTGCATGTAGTCCTTTTATGTATGAATTCACCAAATAATATCATTGATATCTGTTAAGTGCATAAAAAGTACATATTCAAATATTGTTATTCAAAGTGTCGTTGCCAAAATGTACTAACCGTGACCAGGTGGATATACTCCTAATATATCGTAAACGAAATTGATGTCATCATCGTCCATATCCGAATCAGGAAAATGTAAGTCATCGTCGTCATCAATATCATCATCGGTTAGATCGTCATCATTGTCAAACCAATGCTCTCCATCCCAGATATCATAAATGTCTATGCCTTCTTCTAAACCTAAATCCTTATTTGAAGCATGAAAGATAACTTTAACCAAAGACTGCGCTGCAGCTTCTTTGTATTCTTCACACTGTAAGAAAGTATCAAATATTAGAGTAAGTTGTTGTAAATTTAGAGAATTTTAAGATTAATACACACCTCAGCCACACCATAGTAATCCATAGATGTACCATACACTATGAGCTGTAATGTTTTCTTGCGTTGTTCTGTAGCTTTTAATGTGCGTATAGTTTCTAGCAGAAAGTCTATGGTTATTTTTTTGCAAAACTGTATGTTTAACTGACGTAGTTGTTTGCAGCTTTTCACCAGCCGCAAAAGTGCGCGATTTGTTATGTTACCGCAGCCTTTGATTGTCAACTCTTCGAGTTGTTGCAATTTACAAAATGCATCGAGTGCATCATCGTTCACTGCCGGATTGTTGGCGACAAACAGTACTTTCAACTGTCTCAACTCCGATATTAGATCAATATGCTCGACAGTAATTGTATTTTTGGCAACAATTTTCAAAATCTCCAATTGATTAGCCTTGTGGGCGACAAGTTCAGCCAAGAGACGCTTCTGTGATGTACCGTAGAGAGAGTTATAAAGCAATTCTAGCTGCTTTAGTCGTGGCAGTAATGCGACACGTTCATATGGAAACTCCGGGCAGGACATTTTTAAAATTTCCAGCTCTTTGCAATGTTCTATCATAACGTCGAAAAGTGCGGGCGATAGCCGTTCACAACGGCGTATGTCCAGACATTTTAAGTTTGGCAGTGATTCACAAATATCGACCAAATGTGAGGTTTGTATATTACAACAACCGTATAAGTTCAGTACCTTCAATTGTGTCAGTTTGCTTAGGGATTTACCTGCAAATCGTTTAGTTAAAAAAAATATTAAATATTATTTACAAACGTAAAACGTTAATTGTAGTTATGTATATATTACCTGTCAATTCATAATTTTCCGGGAGTTCGAGAGTTTCTAAATACTTTAAATGTGTCATGGTCTCTATGGAGAGGTCAGTTAAAGCACAATCACGTAGCGTCAAGGCTTGCAAATGTGGAAAACGACGCAATAGTTTCTTCAAGCAGTCTCCATGCATTTTACTATCATCCAGTTTAATAATTTTTAGCTTTGTACAAAATGTTCTGATAAATTCAACAATTCGCTTGCGATTTTTATACGGCACACTGCCGTATATGCTTTCAATATTTTCACCAGCAAAACGAAAGAAATCACGAATTTCCCATAACGTCATATTACACATTTTACTCAAATCGAAGTTTTTGAATTCGCGTTTGCAATGCATTTGGAAAATGTCGTGGAAGCGCTGACATACACGTGCAAAACGTACTTGCTCTTTCAACTCCAACAAACCGAAAATTATTTCGAGACAATCATCATTCAACGAAGTAAAATTGGTGCCATCTGTCGGTACTGATGTAATAGTGGGCTGAAACCAGCTATTGCGTACCTTAACACTACATGCTTTTTCTGCATTGGGCTGATTCCAGCTGTCACCAGCTTTCACACCGATACGCCAGCCTTGCAAGCGATGACTATTCTTTCCCAGGGCGCTAAAAAAAAGAGATAAGGTTACATATAAAGCTTCATTTAAGAGATTCCATTATTCTATTTATTTACCTGGCGGCACTTTCCGGATCCGAAAAGTTCACAAACCCTACTTTGGGCGCTGCACGCCGAGATTTCTTTTTGTCCGGGACAAGTTTTACATCAATCACATTACCAAAACTTGTAAAATAGACGCGTACATCGTTTTCTGTAAACTAAAGATATGAAATATTAATTAATAAATAATTCAACGTATACTTAACTCCAACAGCAGTTAAATCTACACTAATTACTGCAACTTACATGTTTTGGTATGCTGTATACAAATATATTGTAAACCAGCACATTGTCTTCTGTATAAGCTTTATTATGTTTCATAGAGAAATTTTGATTGTCTACATCTTCCGGAATCGCAAAATTTTCAGCTGTGAAGACTGAGGACATCATAAATGAAGCGCGGGAGTACTCGCGTAATGCTAAAACATCAAAAACGGACATATTGATAGTGTTAGCAGATAGACGTGCAAAAGTTGAATAAATTATTTCGAAACATTCACATCCTTAAATACTAACGGCACTGGCAGGGACAACGGCAGCAGCAACAGCAGCCCCTAAATTATCCTTTCTCACCTTTCAATTTCTTACTTTTTTTTTCAAAAATAATTTTTACGTACAAATTTTTACCTAAATAAGTGTTAGTTCACAATAATAGGTTGTTTACTCGCATCAGCTGGGATTTACCCAATGTAATTAACGAACAGTGCTGTCTCCTTTGTAAAAGCACAAATAAAGTTGGGTGGTTTTTTGTATATAATAAAAGTTTAAAATTCTAAAGACATCGAAAATATAAAAAATTTAAATATATATTKTATAATTTAAAGAAATTGGGAAATTATTTTTGTTGTTGTCTTAAAAGTTTTCTCAAGTTCGACATCGAGTTATTTTCAGATAACCGTGATAAATGTAACTCAAATAAAAGATTATGTCAGGTAATAACCAGTTTTAAAAGCATTGCTCAAAGAATACAATAATAAAGCTTAAGCATCCTTTATTCAAAACAAGATATTACGTCAAGGTCATGCCGCCTTTTAAATTCTTGGCTTTTCATTTCAATAAATCAAAATTACAAAATGTTATTGTAATCACAAAAACAATATATAGACGTCCATAAATTTGGAAATAAAATTTCGTCACAGCCTGTACATTAGAGAGGGTCGATTTTTTTACCATAAATTGTTTTCCTATTTATTTAACAAATTTATACCACAATGCTATGTATAATATATGTATATAACAGTTATGATGTATTTAAGTGAAATTATAATGAAAAAAATTATAATTAAATTAATTTAGCTAAAAAAACGCCAATTCTTGGGAATCTTTATATTTGAATGAAAAGTGAACTAAAACTTATTTTTAGTGATTAATTTGCATATTAGTTATTGCAAAGTGCCACTGCACACTTTAGTGTTCACAATCAATATATTTTGTACAACTGTTTACATTTGACATGGTTTTATATGCTTCTTCTTCTCTGCTCAAAATAATAACGTCACAAAATGGCGGTTTAGTGCAATTTGTTTTTGTAACAATTGCTAAATTTAAATTGAAAAGTAACTATAAAAAAATGGCGTAATCTAAGTACTCGGTCCAACTCAGTTGAATTGAAGCACTCAATTCCATTCGAATTTCCTACCAACAGGTAAAGCACAGTTTTATTATCAACTAAATTTCTAAAAACACCGATGACTGAAGAGGAGCAAAAATTTCAATTTACTCGTAGGAGTAATAGATTATTTCAATGTTTTCAAATTGTAGTTTGTTTCGTCCAGTTTGGCGATTTGACCTCACGAGCTCAACAATTTTCACCTTTCTATGAATTTGTACATAATAAATAATTAAATTAGTTTGAAATTATAAATAAACAAGTTTAATTTCCACTTTCTATTAATATTTTTATTTTAAATTCATTAATATTTAACCACAACTCTTTGTTAGCAGTTGAAAATTTTCGATACCCTGTTCAACCCGCACAGAGTTGAAAACTAAATACCCAAAAAGTGCAAGTTTGACAACACTTCAACCGAAATTTTTTGTCGAGTTGAGTTGAAATTCTGAGCTTCAACCAATTACAGTTGGGTTGTAAACCGTAATAGCTACCTTAATTAATTAAAAATTAAATAAAATTAAAATATTTCCATTGTTTTCAATATATTTTTATATTATTTAGTATTTACTTATTTATATACAAATAAGTGTATAGAAACAGATTTGCTCAGGTAATAGTGAATATAATATAAAGTGTCATTATAAATAAAATAAGCATATAAAAAATTGTTAAATATATGAACTTTGTAAATAAATAACTTATAATCTATCAGTCAACGTCATTATACTTATGTTATGGGCAAAAACGTAATAATATAAAGTTAATTTAACAAACTTGTTTTGTTATATATAATTTGGCAATAAATGTGTTCAGTATTTTCAAATAATTTTAATAACGATCGGGCAACACGGTTTATCCAAGTTTTCTACTTTTGTTAATCATTTCCGTATGTTACTGTTTTTCCTTTTACCGTTGAGATACGAAATTTTTAAAATTGACTGATGAAAATAATTAGGATTCTATCCGTTGGCAACATTAATTATTCACCATTTGTATATAACGTGCCAACATTTTCACACATTCTGCACGCTTTTTACGATCATTCAGATTCAGACGCAACTTTGCACAATATTTTGTGATAAATTTGACAATTCGTAAGCGATTTTTGAACGGTAGTCTGCCTACTAATTCTTCAATATGTCCGCCAGCAAAACGAAAAAAATCACGTATTTCCCATAGTGTCAATCCATGCAAATTACTCACATCGAAGCATTTGAATTCGCGTTTGCAATATATTTGAAAAATATCGTGGAAGCGGTCGCATACACGTGCAAAACGAACTTTATTTTTTAACTCCAACATACCGAAAATTATATCCAAACAATCGTCATTCAAGGAAAGTATATTTGTGCCATTTGTCGGTATTGATGCAATTGTTGGCTTAAACCAGCTATCGTATGACAAAACACTACAAGCTCTTTCTGGATGGGGCTGATTCCAACTGTTCGCTGCCTTAACACCGATACGTATGCCTTGAAATCGATGATAAAATTTTATCAGCACGCTAAAAAAGGAAAAAAAGATTACATATCGTTAAGCATTTAAAATATTAATTTGAATATTTTACCTGCAGGCGCTTTCCGGTTCAGCAAAGTGCACAAACCACATATTGGGCGCTTCATGCTGAAAGCTCTTTCGGTCAACGACAATTTTTACATCCAGTAATTTACCGAATTTTGAGAAATAATTCTGTATATAGTTTTGTGTGAACTATAGATATAAAATAATAATTAATAATCAATTTAGCGAACACTTATTTACACTAATTAAAGCCACTTACCTTTTTGGGTATGCTGTATATGAATATATTGTATACCAAAACATTATCTTCTGTATATGCTCTATTATCTTTGATAAAATAATTTAGATTGTCAACAATTTCTGCAACATCAAAATGTTCAATACAGTTAGTTGAAGGTATATCAACGGAATTGCGCGGGTAATTACGCAAATCCAAAATATCAAAAACGGACATACTGTATTGATAGTGTTAGTAGATGGATGGTCAAAAAGTAAATGAATTATTTTGAAACATTCATTTAAATATCCAACAACAGCAGCATCTGGATTATCCTTTCTCACTTTTCGAAACCATTTCTCAAAAATAACAACATATTTACGTTAAAATTTGTACCTGCATAAATAACAGTTCACAATAGTCGCTCCCTTCTTTATTAATGCTGGACTTACACAGGCAATAATTATGGCCAACCAACTGTCAAGTCTATTTCAAGGGAATTTGGCAAAGTGGCATCGCCGAGGCATATTCGAGTTATAGAAAGCGTTTATCTGAAATCATGACACGAAATATAATTGAAGCAAATATCATGAGGACAATAAAAATTTATGAAAATGTATAAAAAAAATCAACACTTTTGGATGAATGGTTGAAGACTTCCAATAATTGAAACGTACACATATACATGTATTTGTAGTATCTTTGGTTTAGTTTTGTTGTTTTAATTGCTACTTTGAGTCAGCTAATAAAAACATCCGGTACATTGCCTTTCAATTTTTTTTTTTTAGAAATAAAGACAGAGCTGTCAAACCTCCAAATGACAGCTGATTATTTAGAATAATTATTTAGACAACTATTGGCAATCACAACCAAAATACAGTCTAGACAACATATATTGTTTGTTGAAAGGCCCCGTTAGAATTAGTGCATTTTTAAATAATAAAATGCTCTAAAGGTGCGAATAAACTTAAGTATTTTTTTTTTGTATAATGCAAAACTTAGATATATTTTATATAACTTTTCTAGTTGTTTCAAAAATTTTATGGATGTTTAGAGGATTTGAGATCAAAAGAATATTTCAGGTATAGCCTGAAACGGAACGTTCAAACAATACAATAATAAAGCTTAAGCTTAAGAAATACGTTTCGTGAAGGTCATGCCGCAATAAAACCAGGTAAAAACCCGGTTGGGTCTCGTTAAAATAAACAAACCAAAAACATGGAAGCGCGTACCTGTTTACATCTGCAAATATATGCCATGCAAATTTAATAAATGCAAATCTCATTTATCATTACATTTTTTGATTTCAGTCATGTAATCTGTAACTGTATACTTGTATACTTATGTAACTTGATATTTATGTAACCTAATTACTTGTATGCTAATAATAATAATAATTAGCTGAAAATGCAAAACAGAGAAGGTAATATTTATGTTATACAATCAATTTTTAATTTAATAGCAAATTTATGCTTATAGCTGGCAAATTCTACGGTCATAAAAAAAAAGTGACGTACGCAGATAATAATGTACCAGTTTATAAATTAAGAATTGCTAAGCTGCCTAAACAGGTAATTTTATTATCATTAGTTTGTTGCAAATTTGTAACAATTATTTTCGAAATCAATTCTCCCACATTAAAAATAAATACCAATATAATTCTTAGCTTAAATCGGTAAGGATAGAGCAACATTTTTCTAAATTTGGCCAACTTATAAATGTGGAAATATTGTATGGAAAAACTCGATCCTTTCCAACACAATGCATTATACATCACCAAAATGCGAAAGACGCAGGCGCGTAAGCAAAGCTAGTGTGTGTGTTTTTTTTTTGAAAAATTATTGCAATTAGCCATATTTTTTAGTGCTTTAAAACAGAAATATCATACAATCAACCACCAACGTGTTAAAGTGCAGTCATGCCCAGGTTGGGAGCAACCTTATTTAATCGAAAGTTTATTTGCGAAATCCAGCAACAATGTGAATTTACTTACTTTAAACGATTACTGTTTGGAAAGGATTTTTCAACATCTTGACTTGCGTCAGCAATTACGTCTATCGTTATGTCATTCACGTTTGGATAAGATCTTCACATATATGATTTGTTCACGTTTACAACGAACGTTTTATTTGGAAGAGCTTTTGCAATTTTCAACCCGGGAGCAGCGTCAGTTTCTTAAAACCGCGGATATATATATGGAACGATTTGTAATTGCAAAAGAATACCAAGGCTTTAAGTCTATAAGGAACATATGTGCCTTTTTGAAAGAATTCCGCTTACGTATAAAAAGCCTACATATTATCAAATGGATGCCGGTGCAATATAGGACGTTTCTTACTTCGTTACAACTAAGTTATATAGGCGAATTGGAAATGTATCGATGTAATTTAAAAGACATACATTTGAAATGCTTCCTTAAATTACCCAATCTCAAAGTACTCGGTTTGGCCCGCAATCATCTGCTAAAGGGCACATATTTAAAGTGTTTCCGAAAATTGGAAAGATTAAGTTTATACGAGTGTTGGAACATTTCCAACGATGAATTTTCTCAGTGTTGTCGTCATTTACACCTAAGCTACTTAGACATACGTAAATGCATTCGTCCTACGGAAACAATTGTATATTTGTGTAAAAATTTGGATACAATAAAATTGTCGGGTTTCATTGAATATATTGTCAAATTACCAAAATTAAGGTCATTGGAGGTACATCACTCCAACTCGCCGGTAAATACATTCATTAAAAGATTCATAATATAGTAAATATTATTTTTATTTATTTTTCAGATTACAATCCGTTTTTATAATGCTCTTGTCGAACATCATGCTGATAACTTACGCGAGTTAAAATTGACTGGTGAAACATACCTAATGCTTCCAACCGTGGCTAGAATTGTACGTTTGCACAAATTACGTACCTTATGGTTAGGAGATTATGCATACAACGGATCAGAACAAGTTGTCCAACTTGTTACAAAACTGAGTGATTTGGAAGAGATCAGCTTACATTATTCCCTACGTATTAGAGATCAACATTTACTACCGCTCATAATTAAATGTACCAAATTGAAACGTATCAATCTACGTATGTGTCGTTATATAACAAGTAATTTTATTTGGAGCACATTAGAAATACTATCACAACGTATAGCTGCAGCGCAGCCACTCGTTATTTTAGTTTGCGGTACACGCATCAAAGCGGATATTTTACGAGTAATTCTAAGCACTCTTCTAAAAATTCGTGTTACTAAAGTTTATTATGTTTTATTTTCTCATTTTTTCAAGTCTTCTGTTTATCGTAAAAACCGTCGCTTGCTGAAATTATTGTTTCATGACGATAAACAGCTGACGGGTCTTGTGAATGAAGGCAGTTCTTTTGACATTAATGATTTTGAGTTGAATCGTACTACCATTGATACTATGGATGTTGAATTCATGAATGATTTGCCTGAAGAGAACAATGATGCAAGCGATTGAGATTTAGCATGAGAAAACAAAAACTTGGATATATTATTATTGGTATTTATTAATTTTTGTATTTCAGAGAAAGTAAATAATGGTAATTTTTAACTGAAAATATCAATAACTTAGTGTAGAAATACAACAAAAATTCATTTAAATCCAATTTTCGGCGGTCTAAGCATTTACATGAATTTTGATTAATTTCGGATTTGTATGATTTTGTTCAATTATAATGATTAGCATACATGATAAATCATATATAAACATTACTTTTGACAAAAAAAAAAAAAATCAAATAATTATTCATTTGTGGTTTTTATTTTATTTTTTGCTCAAAGTAAAACTTGCGTTTAGTTCAAAATGTGTAGTGTTCGTCGTTTTGTAATTGAAGAAAGTATATAGTTCAGGTTTTAATTAGTAAATAATAAATATTTTTGATTTTAATTTTTTTTTTGGTTAAAAAATAATTATATTTATAATTTTTTTTACTCAAAAATGATTATATATAATTTATTATAAAATTAGTCAATATGGGCAAAAAAAATCGTTAAACTCGGTGCATATTCATTATTTACTGATTTTTTAAATAAACCTTATCATAATTGCAGTCTCTTTATATTTTTATTCTAGTTTTCGTAATAAAAATAAAAATAAAAGAACATATGAATGTATTATTTTCCTTAATAAAAATAATATTTATAAAATATACTTATGATTAAACAAAGTTTTGGGTGTTTATTTTTTTATTTAGATGTATATAATTTCTTAGGATGTTAGTTGTCAAAGTAAATACATACTACTAAGCGTTGTGTTGTATTCGTATCTGCTAGTCCTTGAATCAATGAAATGCTGAGTGCTGCATACACAGGATTTGCAGCTTTTTGTTTAAGCATTTTTCAAATTACATTTATGACAAATAGTGTGTATAGTAATTTGAAATTAAAAATATTTTTTAATTTGAATGATTTATTAAAATTTACTTACACACTTCATAATTTAAGTTTCGCCATAACCACACACACCTGTTTTTAATTAGATCTATTACTATAAATATTCAGTATAGATACAGATTTTACAGAGTTTCGGTAGTCGTGGCCGGCTGGGTAACAATACGAAAATATTGACGTTGGCAATCATTTTTTGATATGATTGTTCTTTTCCTTTTCGCATCTTCTCTATTCATTCATTTGACAGTTAATGAATTCTCAAAGTAGAAAAAAAGAGTTGTGAAAATTGTAAATTTGTGCGTCTTTTTTTTTTACCATGCAAAACAATATTTTATTCATATTGGACTTCGGAGTAATTTTCTAAATTTTATCGGTTTCTATATGAAGTTGTTGAAATTATAAAGCATTTAGGTAAACAGTAAAGTACAATCTGCACCATAAGTTTGACGCCATATAATGGACGCTGACATCGTGCTGGAAAGAACGGCGCCAAGGGATTACAGGCTCGTTTGTAGAACGTGCCTTGCTTCCGATGCCGAATTTTACAAACTCGATTCCCCAATATTCTTAGAAGATACCGATACGGACGAAAAGCCCGTCAGCTTTATGGAATGCTTGCGTTACTGTACACGTTTGGGCGATAATGATGATAGTGAAAAATTGAATTTTCCAATTTACATATGTACTGAATGTAGTGCATCCTTGCAAGTGTCTTACAATTTTATACGAAATGCACTTGAAGCGCATGAAATTTTACGTCAAAAATTAAGTGAAAATACTGATATGCAACTTAAAAAACACAAAGTTCAGCGTAAAAATGGTATTATGGACGAAGATGGGCACAAAAGCGCGGGGTTAGAAGACGGTGTGGTAAGTAAAAACAATTATGATATATATACTACACCTTATTAATTTGTGTTTTTGCTTATTTAAGGAGTCGGATGCGACAAAAATGCGCTTTCGGTGTAAAATATGCAATGAGAAAGTCGAAACAAAGAAAACATTAAAAGAACACATCAAATTGCATTTGGGTAATAAATTTGTCATAGAAACTATGCCGAGTTATTTTACTAATATGTTATATTACTTCAGATATAATTTCTTATTGCTGTGAACTGTGTAGTTTTGAATGCAAGAAGAGAACTTTGCTATTTGATCATTATAAATTAGCGCATAACACTCAAGCGACGCGCGATCAGTTAAAACCAAAAACCAAACAGCCTGTAAAAAAAGAGCAAGAAATCGATAGCGAAGATCCAATAACACAAGAAATGGAGAAAATACACAACACACAAATAAACGAAGAGTACTTGAATCAAACCAAATACACAGTACCGGAAGAGGAATTAGATATGAAGTTATTTCTAACACCTGCCAGTAGTAATGGATCAGCGGCAGCGGCATATGTTGAAGCGGCCGCAGCTGCAACTGCTGTTGATGTGCCTGCTGAATTGCACGAGCATAGATCTAGCATAACGAAGGATTTGCACCAGTATGGCACAGATCAATTCAATATAACCGCAAATGAGTTAAGCGTAGGAAATGAATTTATCGTTATGGCAGATGGTACAGTGGAGGAAGTTATGGGCAACGGTACTTGTTTTCGTAAAATCATATACTTAAAAGCAAAATTTCTAACAAGTTTACCTATTTCAGGTGTTGTCATCGAATACATTAATACTGCGGATGATGGTGTAACATTGGAAAACGGTTTGGTCTTGGACAATATTATGCAAGTGCAACAAACTGGCGATGCTGAACAAACGGTCACTATGGATATGGATGTTGATGATATTATAATAGAAGAAAATGTTGGTGGTAATGATTTATCTCTCTCCAGTCTGGCATCTATTTCGATGGGACCTGAGACCACAGTTCAAAGTAAGCTAATTGTTTTCAGCTAAAACTACAAACTCTAATTTATACAATTTCACAGCGTTACAAAATATTGAAGATGAATTGCCGCCACCCTCAATAATATCTGTAAATAGTTTAGTTGCCGCTAAGCGTATTAAGTGTAAGATTTGCACCAGTAACTTTCAGACACAAGATCAACTTAAAACTCACATGCTAACGCATAATGGTTAGTATTTTGGAATCAATTTTGAAATAATACTATGATAAATGCCTTCATAACGGTATTCTTATTTGCAGAAATACCGCACTTCTTTTGCGACCAGTGCACTTTTTACACATTCTTTAAGATTGATTTAACACAACATTACAAAACCAAACACAAGCTGCAGCCGACACAAAAACAACTGCAACCGAAAAATAAAGTGAGACCGAATGAAAAATTTGGCGATCTTAAACATATATACGCATGTGATTTGTGTCTCTTCGAAACACGTATAAAGTCGCACTTACGCCGCCATTATTTGAGTCAGCATCAAGAAGAGGCGACCGAAGTGCAATTACGACCGACAATCGGTAGAACCTCATTATAAATATATATATTTTTTTCGTTTCTTATAAAATCACATGTATATTTCTATTTAAAATTTTAGATGAATCAGCAGTTTTAACGGCACCCGATATGTCACCGCCAGAATCACTAAACAAACAGCGTGGTGGTAAAACGTTACGCCCAGATTATCCCAAAGGTTTAAATTGCAAAAAGTGTTCAAAAACATTTTATTGGCGCGAAAAACTCAAGGAACACTATAGACAACACGGTTTGGAAGAGGTCAATGGCATAGATGCATCAGTTGGCGTTGGCGCAGCTACAACCGGCGTAATAGAAATGTCTGCGCCGGGTACAAGTTTACTAAAACACAATACATTTCAATATCACATGCCTCAACATGATAATAATAATGTAAACACCATAATCAATGCAACAAATATCGCTCACAACAACAATTATAATAGCACTGTTGATGCCAGTGTAATTGACGCACAAGCAATTGTCGACGCTGCCGTGGCGGAAGCTCAAGCCGCTTCTATGCAACTGAACATGCAAATGAATCAGCCAGCGCCGGACATTATAATGGATATACCAGCAGCGTCGTCAATTTCCAGCACCAGCACAGTGCCGCTAGCTACAACGACTGTTAATGCGAGCGATGTCAATGTCATGCAACAGCAAGCTGTAACGGTAATGGCCGGTTATGCTTGTCCACAAATACCATCGGATGCCATACCGCAAGTGGTTGAAACGGACACAACCATAGATAATAGCGAATTGGATTTTGTTTTTAACGATGCGCTTTTCGAAGATTTCGAGGAAGACGAAAATGAAGACGAAGAGAATGAAGAGGATGATGGCACGGACTTTCAAGATTTGCTTCTCACAAGTGATGACGATTTCGACGATATGTTACAGGATCAACAGCTTAATGCGGGCGTTGAGGCTGGTGGTGGCGCAGCGGTACACAGCAGCAATTATCAGCCATATTGTGTACACTGCAATAAAAAGTTTTTAAGTCAATATCAATTTGAAAATCACATGTTCGTGCATCGTGGTAGGTTCAATATTTCCGCAATTTTTAGAAATTATTATTATTATTTTTTTGTTTTGTATTTGCCCATATTGATTTTACAAATTTCGTGTTCGTGTTCAGGTTTAGCTCCATACCGCTGTGAAATGTGCACTAATTTGTATAATACGAAGCGTGCGCTGATTCGCCACTATCGCGCGGTGCATAAACGTATACCAACGAGGGATATGATTCAAGCTAAGGGAGACAAAGGTAAAACTGTTAATAATATTGAAATTGTGAAATAACAAATTTTCATGTACATAATTATTGAAACAAATTTATTTTGTAGTTGTTGTGGATCACACGCCCATTGAGCATTTGAATCTGATTGAACAAAAAGGTAGGTTAGGTTATTATAATTAATTTTTTATTTATGATTTTATATTAATCGAAAAAAAGTTTCTTATTTTGTTTACTAAAGTTGATAAGCTATTTTTGCTATACAAATTTTTGTAATTTTGTTTTATTTTTTTTATAGCGGTGACTTTAATGTGTGCGAAATGCCCTTACGAATCAGTTGAATTGCAAGTTATGCAAATGCATTTGAACACCATACATGGCCTTGTTGATGGTAAGACATAATTTTCGAAAACATTACAATTTTTGTATATATGTATACATTGCTCTAAATTTAGTCAGTGAAGGATTTCTAGTTTTTTT